ATGCAGAAATTGTGTCATTATGGATTTTCGAACTGTTTACTTGACTTGTTTAAATCCTATTTACTTGGTCGTGAACAGGATGTTAAATATCGTGGTTTTATATCTAAGGTTATTAGACCAACTTCTGGAGTACCGCAAGGGTCCAATTTAGGCCCACTTTTGTTTTTGTTATTTATCAACGACATTGTAGACACGATTCCTTCGGAGAAATTGCTATTTGCAGACGATGTGAAACTATTTCAAATTATACGCTCTATCGACGACTGCATGATTCTTCAAGCCAGCTTAATAGCTATTAGAAATTGGTGCATAAAAAATCGACTTTTCCTTAACATTAGCAAATGCTGCAGCGTTACGTATACTAGAAAAGTGCTTCCAGAGATTTTTTCATATGCTATTAACGACACAGTAATTAAACGTAGCGATTCATTTAAAGATTTAGGAGTTTTGTTTGATACAAAATTCACTTTCATAGATCACATCAACGATATTGTCGCGAAGGCTTTCAAAAATTATGGGTTTATTTATAGGAACTGCAGAGAGTTTTCCGAAATTGGAACTTTACGTACCCTTTTCTTTTCATTAGTGAGGTCAAAACTGGACTATATTGCCTTAGTTTGGTCACCTATATATCAGGTACATATTCAGCACTTAGAATCGGTGCAAAGGACATTTTTAAAATTTCTCTCATATCGAATTGATGGTGTCTATCCTGTTCGAGGTATAGATCAGTCCCTTTTATTATCTAGGTTCGACTTCTTGTCTCTTGCATCATGTAGAAGGATTTCGCAAAAATTAATGAGACCAAATTTAAAAGGAATCGTAATTATCATAGTTATGACACTAGAAATAAAGATAATTTCGTAATCCCATATCACCGTATTAAAAAAGCACAACAGTCAGCGCAATACACTAGTGCTATTTTGTTTAACGCCCTCCCTAAAAAGGTGAAAGAAAAGCCTCTTCCTCTATTCAAGTCAACCGTCCGGGATATATTAGAGGGCAACTGTTTCTACACGGTAGATGAATTTTTAGTAGCTAAGCTGGCAACAATTAATGTCTAAGAAAAATTGTTAATATATACATTATTAATGTTTGTAAAATTGTGTGTGATTTTAAAATGTATGCTCTGTTACGGTTCGGTTTACTATAGTTGGCTCCTCCTTTCTGGTTACATTTTATATTGAATAATTAAGTATGTACATATTGTAATTAATTGACATGTCCTCCTGTTCTGTACAATATGAGGCGAAATATATATTATTATTATTATTATTATTATTATTATTATTATTATTATCGCATTAAAGTTTCTGTTCAGTTTGGTCAATAACAATATCGATTGTAATTACTTACTTAGTAAGCTGAACTTCCTTGTACCAAGAAGTAACTCAAGGCAATTCCTCATGTTTTATTGTCAAAGGAAGAGAACTAATGCGTCAGTTAAATCGCCAATTAACTTCATGTGCGAATTATATAACAAAATATCTGGAAGCTGTGATCTACATGCTGATTCATTTCACAAAATACGAAAGTGTTTGTTGGAGTGTTCGTTAGAATAGTGTTGGAATTTTTAGTTTAATTTGATGCCTTGTGCGAATGATTGTTTTGTTTAACTTAATTTTGTAGTTTTAGGGTATATTTTGCTGTTTCCCTGTAACTGGGTGTATTACCTGTTGGGAATAAAAAATATATATTATTATTATTATTATTATGAACATTTTATCGAAGACACATATATCAATTTGAATAGGTGCAGTGTAATACTAATAATAAAAGAGTGAGCCGTTCTTGATATTATAAAAAAATCAATTTCCTAATGTATTACTTGTTTTGTGTCACCTTGATTAAGTAATATTAAAATCTACGAATCCATTGACAATAACTCACATATAAAGAGTTACAATATTTTGCGTGTTTTAAACAGCATTTCTTCCATAAAATTTTAAGATGATGTCATCAATTTTTTGCGAAGGAGTAAACGGATAACATGTTTGCAAAATTTCAGAGCGTTCGCTTTTGAAATTTCAAAATTAAATTGTAAGATGGTGTTACACAATCATTGCATGTTTAGGGTTACACCACACACGGATTCATGAATTACACATGCAAGACTATGTTATTTTATAAAATCTAGGTAATATTTATTCGGAAAAATTGTAAAATGACGTAATCACTTTTAAGATCATCTTAAACGTTTGCAAAGTTTCAGAGTATTCGGTTATGCAATTTCAAAGTTAAATTGTGAAATGTTGTGATTCAATTTTGATTCTTTTTTCCAAAAATGTGGATTTTAGGGGTAAAGACTCAACACGGATTCGTAAATCACAAATGCAGGAATACCCTATTTCATAGAGTTGACATAATATTCACTATTGTAAATTCTGGAGGTAATGTCATCCCATTGTTGGTGGGGATGATTAGACAATTTTAGTTGGCGTTTTACCATTCCACACGATATTTCTAACATACATACAGAACTGTAGAGATTAGACAACGCAATGAACATCTGTATACTGCAGTTTTGAACTCCTTAGGTCTCATCAGTACAGCATATTTCACTGGTTGTCTAATATTGTCAGTATGTAACCTTATAAGCCTAATAAGACAAGCAAATATACGTTAGTGCTTATTTTTCATTTAAATAGGTGAAAAAATGAAACTCAATGGCGCTTCTTGTACGATGAAACAAACGTATCCTTTGTAAACAAAAATTAATAAAAAATGTTACACTTTTTTAATGAACGTGAAAAAAGTACATAAATTTATAAAGCGTATCCTATCACGAAACCAATCGAAGTATGCAAAAATATTGTTACGAAAGTATGGCGATGATGACTCGTCGGCCGGGCGGCGTTCGCTATCAAAAAGCCTGGAAGCGGATGTCGCGATGGGTAACCCAGAAAAGCCTCGAAGCGGTGTTCTCGATCCATCGAGAGAAACATATAGGTTTAAATAGAGGCCACCGTCGGGACCGTTTAGTATTCAGTCAGCAAGTCAAGTCCACGAGAGTATAGCCAAGTTGCACCGGAATTATTTTGTACATAATCGCTGTGTTATCAGTCGTGTAAATTTGAGTTATTAAGAAATAAATTGTTGAGTTTTATACCGATTTTATTTACCGATCGACTTAAGTAATTGTTCTGTTTAATAAGAAGAACAAATTGCTAATCAACTTCATTTTAAGATTGGTGATAAACCCTTTACCCGAAAAATAAAGAAAGCCTCTTCAGTTAGATTTCCATTACTTGTGTAAAAAATTTAAATTACTGAAACCATGTAGTTGAGTATATAAAAAACTACTAGAAATAGTTATTTTCTCTGCGACAAATTGTTACGGTTGCTGAAGTGCATTATTGTTTAATTGCACTAATCGCCAAAGTAGATTATTGTGGTAAAGCATTGACATTCCGATTGTTGCATAAAGCAGTTCGCTACTGTGTAAGCCATTACCATCCTTAATTGTCATCGGTAGTATTGAATGGAAATAAAGGTCATCCGTGAAGTCTATCTAACCCTGACCTTCGTTTAACCAATATCACTCAAATGACGACATTTGTTTTTGCCCTTATCAGAAAATGAAAGCGGAGTGTGACAAAGACAATTATTTTTTCTATTTGTATACTTGTCAGTTTGATTTATAAAGCGCAGATATATTTCGTATTTACATCGACGATAAAAGATTACTTCGTATTGTTTAAAATTCAGTTATATTTTTTAAATCTCTGCTTATACACATCAGTGTCCTAAATGACGTTAAATAACTTTTTTTTCTTAAGTGAATGCGCTATCAGAAAATGCAACAAAAGTTTTATATAATACTCAACTCAACCGTGCTACCTGAAAATTTTATACCGACTCGATATTATTTTTCTTTCGACCGAACGATGTAACAAATAATTAATTACCTGCTGCCAACTAATTTAAGAGAAATTTTAATTTTTAAAGATCGCATTAAATTTAAAAGCCATTGAAAACTTTACGTTTTCTGTTAATGTATTACCCGCAAGTCTTATATGTATAGGGTCCAAGATATAACTTCGTATCCTAGTCACGAATACTGAAATCCTGTAAACGCCATTGTTTTTAGCTTGAAAGAGGAAGCTTAATTTAGCACACTGCAAATACAATATTTATTTTAACGAATCTTGATAGATCGTTTATATCAATAACGATTACAATATAATACACATAAAGTGATAGGCGGCACGCTTCCATAAAACCCATAAAAAAATATTTTTACTTTTAAAACAACGATTTTTGGAGTTTGAACGTTTATTGGTGCTTCTACGTAATAGATAACTTTCCAGGTTTTGATTTAAACTATTTCAACGAAATACGAGGATTGTACCTGCAACTAAAACAGTGTAGTTTAGAGTCTGTTTACACAGTTATTACCACAGTTTGTAGTGTCGTTAACTTTGAAGTGTGATAAAATTTTTATTGAATACAAAAATAACGTTTTGAGTATACGACAGCTTCGGTATAGAAAAACATTTGTTTCGTCTAAAAACACACCCAAACAGCATAAATCATAAAGCAGCAGAAAATAGTTCAAATCTGACATGTTTTTGTCTGGAATTATATCGTAATATCTATTATAACTTAATAAAAATCGGGCACTTCACACTAGAACTATCTGAAGAAGTTTTTGTTTTGTAGTTTAGTTACTTTAATTTATTGTTAGATCATTGTATTACGAGTATTCAATTAATTAATTAATGTGACCTAATTATGCATTTTTGTCCTACCTCCGCTGGTATTAAAACATTCTCTTAAAGTCTGTTCAGTATTTTTTATAAATATCGTATCTTACGTATTAGTAAACACAAGATTATAATACCAAGCATTTTATAAAAAAAACCTAGTGATAAAGACCATCAAGACAAATGAAACAACTAACCCGAAAGCTGAATCCGCAATAAGAAAGGAGAGTTTTCTCAACCCCTTTAAGGAAACGTTGTTTGACATGTGAAGTAATTGGAACGCGATTGTTTCAGATCCCCCCAAGGTGGCAGTGAAGCTGGACCCAGGGGTAAATTTACCCGCTAAGGAGGGAGCAGACGTTACCCTTCGTTGTGATTCTTCGGCACGTCCTAGTCCCGACAGCTATAGGTGGTATCACGACGTAAGTTGGCGATTAGAGTTACATTTCCTTTGATACGACCCTATTCTTAAAAGATCCGTTTTACTTACGTGCCGAGAAATCATCGCATCATTTTCACATTTTTTGTTGTGGCAAACAAATCGATCTGCGACTATCGCTGAATTTAACCCACATTCTCCCCCAGAATAAGAAAGAAAAAATAAGGTTTAAAGCATTAGTTTTAGTTAGATCTGTTAAATGAGTGTCGAAAAATATTTATGACGAATGATACCGAAGGAAAAATAATTAATAAATAGCGTAGGCACAATTTGATCAGTTGAAAAAATGAAAATAATGGTTTTGAAAATGTGAAGATGTTTTTTATTTTGTGCAAAATTCCTCGTAAATTTGCTAAAATACCGCCTGCTGGAACATACGTTTTATAATCTTTTGCTTTTGGCTATCTACGTATTTAAGAAATTATTATTCTTTTATTTTTAATTGGTTCGTTTTAACAGGATTTTCCTTGTTTCAATAATTTGAAGCAAATAAATTATTACTATAATGATTATTTGCAATTCTTTGAATTTGTTAAAGACTGTTGTACAAATACTTGTTAGACTCTGTTGACTGTTGGCGAAAGATTTCGGCGTGGACTTTTTCTGTGTATTAGGAAATTTTGTTTGCCTGTTGTTAAAATATTGCGTCTGTTAAGTAAACATTTTGTTTGAGGCTCTTATCTCTGGAAAAAGGAAGCCGTCAAGGGGATGTGGTAGAAAATTAAAGTAACTCGAACATTATTTACATAAACAAACCCTTAATTGAATACTGGAGCGAAACAAAATGTGCAATTGTTATTCAGTCCATTGTATTTTTAGAGTTCAAAGTAAAAGTATTCTAATGTATGCGGAAGCTATGCAAAAACCCCGTTGAAGTCTGTTGAATTCCCAATATAAATAAAAATCGAAGGAAATATGGAAATTAACTTGCCGCATACTGAACTCCCCATTTATATTTTTGCTCTAATATTTTCATTGTGCCTGTGTTTTCTTCTCATAAATATGTATCTTCTGAATTGGCTACTTACACTGCACTTTTGCTTTGGAACAGTTTTACGGTCTTAACGAGATTACAAATGGCGTGCTCCTTTAAAGTCTTACCAGTTAACATGAATATATAAATTATTAATGCCGTGTTACATGGATTTTAGCGAAAAAAGCATGCAAATTTCATGTCTTTCGCTTAAATAACAAACAAATCACTTCTGTGTGAAAAAATCCAAACTCTACATCTCGAATATTTATGTTTTAAATCGTAAAGTAAATGATAAAATAAACTCAGCATTCCTCTGTCAAGAACGATTATTTTTCCGAATGTATAATTTTTTGAGTGGCAGCAAGATGTTAAACATTTTTCACAACACCTACTACTGCTAATTGAGCGTCCCATTTTTCCGTCATATGTTGAAAACATTTGAAAAACTAGAATTCGTCACATCATAACGTACATATTTTTAAGTCATAAACCCTCCGTTTTCTTCCTCTTTTTGCGTGATTTTTGGCTTACCGCGCCTTATTGCTTATTGGACCCAGAAATTTTTTAGTATAAAAAAAAATTCTGCTCCATGTACCAATATTATTTTTTTCTTTTTTATTGATTATAAAAGGTTGCATATCACGTTGGTTTGGAAAATTTGTCACTGCAGTTTTACTAAGAAGTTGTCGTTTTGATGATGCAGGTAGAAAATCTATTAGACGCCAAAGACACCGAAAACACTTAAGAAAATTAGGTTAAGCTGATGTTTATGTCATACAACGATTAGTAATACCAGTCATCACAACGAGGCGGCAAAATTCACGAAATTTCAGTGCTAATTTGATATACAGTCTTTGATAATCATCTTTTGCATATAATGGTCATAGGTTAAAAAATAGATTGACATCACCTGAGAGCGATTCTTGAGAGTAACTTTCAGGTCGCGTCCTCGTTGCAATTAGAGAGGATTAAGTTGTAGCTGAAGTAAATGCCTGAATTAACACATTGTACGTTAACAATGATTGTTCTCTCAATATTTTCCTCTATAAACCTGAGTTTGAAATACGGTGACTATTATGTGTAGCTTATACACCGCTGCCTAAATTTAAAGGAGAAAATGACCCTTTTTTGTACGACATTTAACCTCCTGAAGGCTAGTTTTTCCGACGTTAAGTTGAGATAAGATACCAAGGATTTTTTGAACTATTTGAGCTAGACACTTACCGGTAATAAGTTTTGTCACATATTAGTTATACCCACCACACAATTATTATTATTTTCCTCGGAGATATCAACATTTTAAAGGAAATAAATTTTAAAATATATAATGTAAAATAAGATTGTTCAAAATTTCAAGAAAATTAAATGAGATATTTTGTTAGATAATAATAATAATAATCAGTATTTTATTCTACAGGGTTATTCACGAGAAGCTTAGCGCCTAAAAAATTCTGTTTTGATCTTTGCTACCATTTTTTGAAAAAGTAATTTGACATATATTGTTTTTGTTAATTTTATTTTATAATAACCCCTATAAGTTAAAATAAAGATGTGTGCAGTGAGAAAACAAAGGTAAAAAGCATGCTATGCGTATGTTTTAAGTGAGTTTTGTTTTTAATACAAAATTTAATTTGAGAAGAGAAAAGCACAACCAGTTGAGTCCACTTTCGAATTATAGCTGCGCCAGTGGCGTTCGTTGATTTATTCATCATCCATTTGCTCGCATATTTTGTTTATCATTCGTGTCGTTTGTTGTGTTTGGATTATTACTGATGTGTTTTTGCGCTTCTTTGGTCAGATTTTGCTGTTCTATCAATTAATGTTTTTTTAATCCGAACAAAAACTCTGCAATTCGAACTGAACTTGCAAACGTGAACCAAAATGCATTTAGCTAAATTTCGAAAATGATCAAAAATGGGGCGAAATGTGAAGAGTATTGAAAAAATTTCACTTTTAAAAAAGTTCTCTAAAAAATTCTCAGAAACTTTAGCGGTGTAAATCTCAAATATGCTGATTCCAAAAATATGGCGCATGTATGGTCATCGTGCAACATTTTTAAACTATTCGGTTTTGAACACAAATTTTCTAAAAATTCGATAATTTCGATATTTCAACGGCCAATTCTGGAAAAACTGTTCGATTTATCAAAGAATCGAGGCCGGAAGTTAGTTCTATGGCTCAAAATCTACAAGGAAATGTATACATAAATACTAATGTAATTAGTTTCGAAAATGGTCAAAAATGGTGCGAAATTTGAAGGAGGGAGTACTGGAAAAATTTCACTTCAAATAAAGTTGTCTAAAAATTCCCAAAAAATTCATCAATGTAGATTTCAACGTGCTGATTCCAAGAATATGGCGCATGTATGTTCATTGGGCAAGATTTTTAAGATATTCGGTTTTAAAGCAAATTTTCTAAAAAATCGACAATTTGGACATTTCAGCGACCGATTCTGGAAAAACTGTTGGAGTTATCAAAGAAACGAGGCCGAAAGAGAGTTCTATGACTCGAAATCTACAAGAAAATTTTTAAGCCTAGTTCGGCACTTGACGCAGTAAAATTCAGTCTGGTGTTAGTTTTGCTTTTTTGTCTAGATTCCACTGTTTATCTCTATAAAATCCTTTTTTGTCCAATACAATGAGTGATTAGAAAGAAAACGGGGTGGGTGGGTGGAGCCACTTTGAAATTTTTTAAACCTAGTTAGCCACTTGACACAGTAAAATTCAGTCTTCATCTGATCAAAAAAACCAATGAAATTCAAGAGCGATGGTGGGTGGGATTAGTTTTATCTTTTACTTCCCGAGTGTAAGCAAAGGGAGTATTGTAATCGAGTCCGTCGGCCGACTCTCTACTTTTACGTTTTCTCGATTTTCATGACTCCTAGAGGACGAAAAAATAGGTCTCCCGTTTCCGTCTGTCGGTCCGCCTGTCCGTCTGTTCGTCTGTGTGCCGTCCCGGATTTTTATTAGACAGATAATCTCCGAAAGTACTGGACCAATTGTTGTGAAATTTTGTACTTATATTAAGAATATAATGTAGATGGTAAAACGCTAACCAAAATTTGTCTAGTCATCCCCACCACTAATGCGATGACGTCATTTCAAAATTGTATATTGTAAATGAGTTTTAAATTGTATAGATGTAGTTTATGACTCCGAATTGAGTTTTTACCCCAAACGTCCAGATTTTTGGAAAAAAAATCAAACTGATAAAACAAAATTTGTAATTTAATTTTAGATCCGCAAAATCGAATGTTTCGAAATCTTGCAGATGGTTTACAGTTATGATAAGCATGATAAATTTTTAATCAAAATATATTGACTTATCTCCTCCAAAAAATTGATGACGTCAGCTCAAAAATTTGCCGAATAAATCCTATCTAAAATGTACAAAATATGATGAGTCTGTACTTGTGATTTATCATTCTATTCATATTTTATGGATTTGTATATACTCAATATGACTCAAAAAAATTGGTCTAAAGAGTTTAGACAGTACTTCCCTCGCTGTCGGAAACTTAACGACTGCATGCCTATTGTGTTTTTTTTCTCATTACATTTTTGTAGTGGGAATTTAAAAAAAAAATGCGATGACGTCATCAACATTTTTGCAAGGACACGTATATCAGTTGGGATAGATGTAGTGTAATACTAAGAATAAAATTATTATATTCTCAAATTTTCGGGAAAATGAATTGGGTCGTTTTGAATATTGATTTGTAATAATCAATAAAATAACGAAACAATTTACTCACGTATACGTATCAGAGGCAACTGAAAATCGTGTATGTATAAACATTCTTAATTTAAGATGACAGGCGTAACAGCATACGTGAGAGTCAAACAGAGAAACTGTAAACAAAACGACCATCGGTTTTATTGCTTCGACTTCCGCTTATTATATAAAACATTGGGTTTTATTTTAATTCTTGACGGTGAAATTCACAATTGGTTGATTATAAACATGTCTATTTCACATTCGCGGAACCAAGTGAACGCATAAAACAA